CCAGGACCCCAGGTAAGGGGGCCTAGTTAGTGGTAGAGCCCGGGAGCCCCTAAACTGGCCAGGATCACTAAGCCTGGTCAGCTCCGTCCCTCAGGACGCATCACTAAACCAGGTCCCACTAAACCCAGTTCTGCCATCGCCCGACTCTTCCCCTCTCTCGGGGAAACGTAAGACTCGAGCACGCCGGAATTCGGGTTTGCGGGCGCTTTTTGACGAGCGCGTCCTGGATTTTGACGGTCCAGTTTGTGTGGGATGTTTGCAGCGGGAGCCCGCGTCAGATTGGGTGTTGTCATTTTGATGATGGCCCCGTCAGGCCAACCCGAGTCCCCGGAACACGAGTCTTACGTCTCCCAGACTCTCCCCCTCCCCGTAGGCCAGATATTGGCTGCTTTGGGAGGCTGCCTTATGGTTAAGTCGGGCCTGTCCCTCTACAGAAGGAATATTCAAAAATAGTCGAAAAATAGTCAGGGGACGATTTGTTTACCATTTTTGATAATTGTGCGGTATTTTTTGACTATTTTTAATTTTTCGTCCGGAATCCGCCTGTAGGGGGGGGACATGCCCGACCTGACCTTATGTCGGCCTGCCAGGACCTCTGCCCCCAGTCTGCCTGCGCGACTGGTGGACGCAGGTCGACCAAGCACCGGCCCGGGCCTAGACCCCACGCTCCCCCACCCTTCGGCCAAATGCCGAAACTGTTTCGCCGAAGCTCGGGAGAAAAAAACGCCTGCGTGAGGGAGGAGTCGGCTGCACGTAAGGTCGAAGACCCACGGTATCAGCATACACTTTTGGCGGTCCTGGATTTGCGTTGGGACCCCCTGGCGGCGCCTCTTGTGCCGCCCCTGGCGCGGATCCAAGAAATCCGCGCGGACCTCCAAAAGTTTGCTCTTGTACAGGAGTGACTCTTCACCAGAGTGACTTCTGGCCCCCAGGTGCCTGAACGCGATGCGATAGCAACGTCTTGCGCGCTCGGGCTGGCCCCCCCGCGGCCCCGAACATCGCGCACCAGAGGTCATTCTTGTTCGGATGCAACTCCTGGGAGGTCAAATTCTGATTTTGCCCTGGTCCGAAATCCGGCTTAATCTGGTTCAATCCGGCTTAATCCCGCTTAATCCGGTTTAACCCCGCTTAATCCCGCTTAATCCGGCTTAATCCTGCTTAGTCCGAGGCCCATTCCGGCGTAACAGCTCCCAAATGGGGCTTAATCCTCCTCACTCTTTCCGACGAAAACCTCCCAGTAGTTGCCTCCTGATTCTTGCCTAGGGTCACTCTTGCGTGTAGCCGAAGGAGGCCAAGGGCAACGTCTGGGGGGGATAGGCTCAGGGCGAAGGGCTCGTCGTCGTCGTCGTCGTCGTCGTCGTCGTCGTCGTCGTCGGAGGAGGAGGAGGAGGAGGAGGAGGAGGAGGAGGAGCGAGGCAACGTCAGGTGTAGATGGGCTCAATGGCAACGTCAGGGGTCCTGGCCACCTCGAGGGGGTCGGAGCAGATGTGGTCGGACTCCGGTCGGACGGTCGCGCCGCACTGCTCTCTCCGGCGCCGAGGCATCGCCGCGCCGCCAACGCAACGGCGATGCATTTCCGATCCTCTGACCCTATCTATTCGGATTCCAGCCGGGAGGCTCAGGGGCGGCCAAACCGACCCCTCGTCCAAAACGTCTCGATTTAGTTGTCTCTCCGCATGCCCCTGGGACCGCGACCCGGTCTTGCGAGAGCGACGCTCTCAGGAAGGATCTCAGTCGCTCCCTGTGTTTGCGCACTTCCGCCTTCTTTGAAAAAAGGGTATGGTTTGGTAGGGGTCGGTTTGGCCGCGCCCGAGAGGCCTGCCATTCGGGGGGGGGATCGGCTCAGGGAGGAGTTCGAGGCTTCTCGGGGCTTCGAGGTCGGAGGTCTTCGGGCGTGTGCGCGGGCTCCCGGCGGCCTTTACCACAGTCGGGGGCTCCTCGCGGATGCATCGGCGAGGTATCGCCGATTCCATGCCGATGTTTCCCCGCCTGGGCCAGTCCCCATGGATTCAGGAGGGAAAGAAACACACAGACACAATTAATCCTCGATTTCCCAGAAAATACGGGAAAATATGGGGAGTGGGCGGGAAGACAGAAACCCAGAAACTATGGGAAAATATAGGGTATTGTTTTATTTGTGTGCATTTATTTGTGTGTCCTTGGGCCCCTTCATGGATGAGGGTACTTTAAGTCGCTCCAGAGCGTTCCAGGACGCTCTCAGAGCGTTCTGCAGACTCTCTGGACAGGCCGCGGCGCCCGACGCGTCTTCCCGGCGGGCCAGCTCTCACAGATTGCCGATTTATTCCAGAGGCTTCTGCGTCATTCCGACGACTTCCAGAAGAGGAGATGTGCGGCTTCCGAGTTCGTAACCCGATGGTGCTGCCTGCGTGTAGTTGCTGCTGGTTCGTTGTTTCTGTTGTAGTTCCCAGCTCTCCTGCGCTGGGTTCTCGTTTTGAATCTAGAGCACTGCGGTCGCACACCATCCTTGCTTCCCGCCCCCTCTCCCCTCTCTCCTGCCCCTCACCTCGCTCCTTCCTGCGTGCCAGCTTGACTCCTACCTGGCCATCTCTGGGGGGCTGCGATCTGCGAAACGGTCGCCACTGTCGCGGGCTGCTGGGAGGTCCAGTGGAGTGACGTCGTACGCGGACTCAAATCAGACCTCGCCATCCCTGGGGGGCTGCGATCTGCGAAGTTGTCGCCACTTTCGAGGCCTGCTGGGGGGTCCAGCGGAGTGAGGTCCCACGCGCACTCAAATTAGTTCTCGCCATCCCTGGGGGGCTGCGACATGCGAAATTGTCGCCACGTTCGAGGACTGGTGGTGGGTCCAGCGGAGTGACGTCCTACGCGGACTCAAATTAAACATCGCCATCCCTGGGGGGCTGCGATCTGCGAAATTGTCGCCACTTTCGATGGCTGCTGGTGTGTCCAGCGGAGTGACGTCCCACGCGGACTCAAATTTGACATCGCCATCCCTGGGGGGCTGCGATCTGCGAAACTGTCGCCTCGTTCGAGGGCTGCTGAGGGGTTCAGTGGAGTGAGGTCCCACGCGGACTCAAATTTGACATCGCCATCCCTGGGGGGGCTGCGATCTGCGAAGTTGTCGCAACTTTCGAGGGCTGCTGAGGGGGTCCCGCGGGGCGCTGTGGCGGGCCGCCCGCAGACCTGGCGGCGCGCCTTCGAGTGCTTACTTCCCGCATTGAGAAGTGCAGCAAGGAAGCAGGGGAGCTGGCGGGCGAGCTAGGCCTCGCTCGCTTCGTGCACCAAAAAGACGCAGGTTGAATCATTTCACTCTTCGGTCTCCTCCCGTCACTTTCGTCGGAAAGAACCCCCTCTACCCTTCGTTCTCCTCTCTCCTTCTCCTCGGGCCAGCGCCTGCGTCGGCGGCGGCTGGCGGCGGCGGGGACGACGACTTCCTTTTCTGGGCCAGCGCCCGCGCCTGCGGCGGCGGGCGGCGGCGGCGGGGAGCGTCGAAGAGGACGACGGCGACCACGATGACGACGATGACGACGACGCTCCGCCACCGTGCCTTGGTTTTGGGTCAGAGTCCTAATGGATGCCTCTCGGGGTCTCGTCGGAGGGCTCTCGGGGGCCTCTGAAGGGTTTTGTTGAATCCTCCTGGGCGCCTCTTGGGCGTCTCTGGGGGCCTCTCTGAGGTGGTGGTGGTGGTGGTGGCGGGCAGTGGTGGTGGTGGTGGTGGTTGTGCCGGTGGTGGTGGTGGTGTTGTGGTTGGTGGTGGTGGCGGTGGTGGTTGTGGTGGTGGTTGTGGTGACGTGTTGTGGTGGTGGTGATGGTCGCGGTGGTGGTGGTGGTGCGGTGGTTTCTTGTGGTGGCGGTTTGGTGGTAGTTGTAGTTGTGGTTTGGTGGGCTAAGGTGGTGGTGGTGGGGCGGTGGTGGTGGTGGTGCGGTGGTTTCTTGTGGTGGCGGTTTGGCGGTAGTTCTAGTTGTGGTTTGGTGGTGGTGGTGGTGGTGGCGGTGGTGGTGTGGTGGTTTGTCGTGGTGGTTATGGTGGTGGTAGTGGTTATGCTAGTGGTGGTAGGTCGTGGCGGTGGTGGTGGTGCTGGTGATGGTGGTTCTGGTGGTTGTGGTGGTGGTTTGTTGTTGTTGTTGGTGGTGGTGTAGTGGCTTGTGGTGGTGGTGGTGGTGGTAGGTTGTTGTGGTGGCGGTGGCGGTGGTTGTGGTTGTGGTGGTGGTGGCGGTGGCGGTGGTGGTTTGTTGTGGTGGTGGTGGTTGTGGTGGTGGGTGGTGGTGGTGGTGGGCTGTGGTGGTGGTGCTGCTGTGGTGGTTTGTGGTGGTTGTGGTGGTGGTGGGTTGTGCTGCTGGTAGTGGTGGTGGTTGTGGCTGTGGTGGTGGTGGTGGTGGTGTGGTAGATTGTGGTGGTGGGGGTGTTGTGGTTTGTGGAGGTGGTGCTGGTGGTGGTGGTGAGTTGTTGTGGTGGTGGTGGTGGTGGCTGTGGTAGTGGCGGTTGTGTGGTGGTTTGGTGGTGGTTTGGTGGTGGTGGAGGTGGTGGGTTGAGGTGGTGTTGGTGGCGGTGGTGGTTGTGGCGGTGGTGGTTTTGTGCTTTGTGGTGGTTGAAGTGGTGGCGGTGGTAGTGGTGGCGGCGGTGGTTTGTGGAGGTGGTGCTGGGGGTGGTGGTGGTGGGAGCGGTGGTTGTGTGGTGGTGGTTTGTGGTGGTGGTGGTGGGTTGTTGTTGTGGTAGCGGTGGTTGTGGTTGTGGTGGTGGTTGTGGTGTTGTGGTTTGTGGTGGTTGTGGTGGTAACGGTGGTGGTGGTGGCGGCGGGTGGTGGGTGGTGGTGTTGTGGTGGTTGTGGTGGTGGTTTGTTGTTTGTGTGGTAGTGGTGGTGTTGGTGGTGGTGGTGTGGTTTGTGGTGGTTGTGGGGTGTGGTGGTTGTTGTGTGGTGGTGTTGTTGGTTTGTGGAGGTGGTGCTGGTGGTGGTGGTGGTGGTGGGGGCGGTTGTTGTGTGGTGGTGGTTTGTGGTGGTGGTGGGGGGTTGTTGTTGTGGTTGCGGTGGTTGTGGTTTCGGTGGTGGTTGTGGTGGTGTGGTTTGTGGTGGTTGTGGTGGTGGCGGTGGTGGTGGTGGCTGTGGTGGTGGTGGCGGTGGTTGTGGTGGTGGTGATGGTGGGGTGGTTTGTTGTGGTGGTGGTGGTTGTGGTGGTGGGTGGTGGTGGTTGTGGTGGTGGTGGTGTGGTGGTTGTGTGGTGGTGGTTTGTGGTGGTGGTGGGTGTGGTGGGTTGTTGTGGTGGTGGTGGTGGCGGTGGTTGTGGTGGTGGTGGTGTTGTGGTTTGTGGTCGTTGTGGTGGTGGCGGTGGTGGTGGTGGCGGCGGTGGTTTGTGGAGGTGGTGCTGGTGGTGGTGGTGCTGGTGGTGGTGGTGGTGCTGTGGTGGTTTGTGGTGGTGGGTTTTGGTGGTGGGTTATGCGGCTGGTAGTGGTGGTGGTGGGAGCGGTGGCTGTGGTGGTGGTGGTGGTGGTGTGGTAGATTGTGGTGGTGGGGGTGGTGGTTGTGATGGTGTAGTGGTGGTGGTGGTGGTGGTGAGTTGTTGTGGTGGTGGTGGTGGCTGTGGTAGTGGCGGTTGTGTGGTGGTTTGGTGGTGGTGGAGGTGGTGGGTTGAGGTGGTGGTGATGGTATGGTTGTGGTGGTGGTGGTGGTGGCGTGGTGGTTTGTGGCGGTGAGGTGGGCTGTGGTGGTGCTGCTGGTAACGGTGCTGGTGCTGGTCGGCGGTGGTGGGTGGGGGGTTGTGATGGTGGTAGTGGTGGTGGTTGTGGTGGTGTTGGTGTTGTGATTTGTGGTGGTGGTGGTGGGTTGTGGTGGTGGTGGTGGTGGCGGTGGTGGTGATGGTGCTGGTCATGAAATGGTTGTTTGTGGTGGCGGTGGTGGTTGTGGTTGGTTTTGGTGGGTTGTGGTGGTGCTGGTGCTGGTGGCGTTTTCGGTAGTTGTGGTGTAGTGGTTTGTGGTGATGGTGGTGGTTGTGGTGGTGGTGGTGGGTTGTGGTGGTTGTGGTGGTGGTGGTGGTGTTGTGGTTTGTGGTGGTGGTGGTGTGGCCTTCGGCTCTTCCTGCCACCGTGTTTTGGGTTTGGGTCAGAAGGGTCTCGGGGGCGTCTGAGAAGCATGAGTGAAGCCTCGTGGACTAAGGGCCGCTCGATGGCTTCTGGGGGGCGAGGGCTCGATCTGGCGATTTGTATGTTCTCTCAGCGGCCTCTGGGCCCTCTCTGGTCATCGTCGCTGCGTCCCCGCCGTCGGCGCTGCTGGCCGCCACCAGCGCCGGCGCTGGCGCCAGCGCGGGGTGGGTGGGTTGGGTTCCCCCGCGTGGGGGGGAGATGTCGGGAGGGGGGGCTAGGGAGGAGGGGGGCCCCCCTGGTCTGATCGACGGCGCCGAGTGTTGGGGGGGCGGACCACCCCCTGGTTCGAAACGCGCCGCCAAATGTTCCCAAAGCAAGCGCCCGTGAAACGCCGTTTTCTTTCGTCGTCCTCTGCCCCCTGCCACCTTCCTCCGCTGTTGCCGCACTGACGGTTCGGCCCCCCGCGCGTCCTTTTCTTGCCTTTCGTTCCTGCCCCCATGTCCTCCTCAAGCTTGGACCCCGCTCCTCGTCCTTCTGCTGTTCTCCTGTGAATCGTGCCACGTGAGCGCGTCCTATGTAGTTTGCACAACATATAACCCCGCCTGCACTGTCATTCTCCTGGCAAGTTTGGGCCAACTTGTCTTGCCACTTGCTGCAAATTGGTTGGGTACGTCGCAATGTAATGACTATTTCTTTATGTTGATTAATCTTGTGTGTCTTCTTCTTCGTCGGTGGATGCGGCACCGACGAATTTCCTTATAAAGCATGGGGGTTGATGACCCGGAAAAAGTGGAGCGGGAGGAGCAAGACGAGGGAGAAAGAGAAGGAGAAGGAGGATGGGGGTGATGACGATAATGAGGATGAGGATGAGGAGCAGGAGAAGGAGGAACACGATATAGGAGAAGTCGGGGGGGGAGAAGGAGGAGGAGGAGGGGGAGGAGAAAGAGGAGGAGGAGCAAGAGGACGAGCAGGAAGAGGGAGGAGGAGGAGGAGGAACAGGAGGAGGAGGAGGAGGGGGAGAAGGGATAGGAAGAGGAATGATAATATTAATAATGAGGAGCATTTTGGTAATACGAAGAATAATGCGAATCATAGCAATAATGATAACACTAGAATAATAATATTACGGATAAAAGCATGAATGGTAAGAATAATCAGAAGAATGGTTCTCAGGAAGTTTATTGACATATCATGAGACGATCCAGGAACATATTATTACGAGTAATTGACGAATCACGAAGACAACGGTAATAATAGTAATACTAACAACAATTCCAATACTGAGACTGATACGACAACTATTTGTATTACGAATGCGAACGAGACGAATGATACTGATACTAATAATAACCCGAACAGCAACACACACATTTGTATTATCAATAAGTGGGGAAAGGGGGAAGAGGATGAGGAGGAGGAGGCGGAGGAGGAAAAGGAAGATGATG